CCTACATGAGTGAAGGCATGCGCATAAAAATCCCCTGAATATTTGATAAAAATTCATTTTGCGCGGTAATCCTAATTTTCTTTTTTTTTTCGCTAAAAGTTTGATCTTTTCCGTTTTGCGGTAGTTTCCTTGAAATAAAATAAGCATACCGAGTGTTGCTGAATGTTTTTGCGTTCTTTTTTCCTGCTGCTCGCATTTTTTGCGCACGCATTTTCTCCAGTTCTTCGGCTTTTTCGAAATTCACCGTACATAGTTGATTCCCCGTCTCTCTGGAAGTTGCAGCTGGTTCCGAAGGACAGGCACTGTGGGGGTTGCGCACTGCAGCATCAAAAAATAACTCATCATCAGAATCCCCGCGAGTATCTCCCATTCGTTTCCGCTTGTTTTCTTGCGGCTTTTTTTTTCCTGTAAAAAGCAGTTGTTAAAAAAGCGTAAGTTTAAAAAACTATGACTTTTCGCCGCACGACCTGTGACCTCCGGCATGGAATGGGCCTAATTTTTAAGCATTTTGGCATATTCATGCAAATGCAAAAATGCATATTGGCAAGAGGTTGTCTATGTATGTATGTATGTATGTATGTATGTGTATACATGTATGTATGTATTTATGTATGTATGTACGTATGTATGTATGTATGTATGTATGTATGTATGTATGTATGTATGTATGTATGTATGTATGTATGTATATGTATGTATGTATGTATGTATGTATGTATGTATGTATGTATGTATGTATGTATGTATGTTTGTTATGTATGTATGTATGTATGTATGTATGTATGCATGTATGTATGTATGTATGTATGTGTATGTATGTATGTATGTATGTATGTATGTATGTATGTATGTATGTATGTATGTATGTATGTATGTGTACGTACGTATGTATATATGTATGTATGCACGTCTGTTTGTGCCTGTGTTCGCATTTTGTTCCCCACTTTCAACTTGAGGATCGCAGAAGCTAGGAAGCTGAAACTTCTAGAGCATTTGCCCATTCCATGTGCGATCCTCCCATTTCAATATTATCACTAACCTACATCTCGGTCTTACTTATGAACGCCAAAAGGGAATCACGCAAATATTTTGGCGGGAAAGCGACTTCGAGAACAACACAAGTCATGAAGTTCAAATTTTACCAATATGCTCCATGTCCTTGCGTGAGCTAAAGATTTCAAATTCAGCTTTAACACACGTCCATGTCACAACGCAGACATATCAAAATCAAGATTTCGTATTTGTTGACAAAATGCCAACTCAGGAATTAAACTCATTGAAGCGCTCTAACTTTAACACAATGTTCATCTTCTACAAGTACATAAGCGCAAAATAAGTTTTGGCATATGTATGTGTGGCGCGTTCCAACATAACAAATGCATACATATATAGCGAAGATCGATTTGCCGATCAATTAAGCTAGGAAGTTGAAACTTTACAAGGATATTCTAGACCAAAATGCGATCCGAATATTTCAAATTTAGCTTTAAATAACGCCCAGGTTTCGCGTAAACTCAAATGCAATGTAATTCGTGGTCGTTGGAAGGCTGACGTGTAATTTAAAAAAGAAAAACCAAAAAGTGGACGATCCAGAAGCAAACAAAATGCTTAGTTCAGGACACCGTTGGCACCCTATTACCTCGGTAAACCGGCTGGGCTGGAAGTAACATTTCTTTGAGGATGTTTGCTGTTCATGTGCCGATCGATAAGTGTAAGATGAGCTTCTGCTTAGACATAAAGTGCGGGCGCGTCAAATGTTCAAATTGCAACATCGCAGCTGCAAACCTTCAGCGGTACAGGCGATCTCTCTACAGCATGAAATCATGTAAAAAAGTGCGGCGGCAAGACACTTGCGTCGCTATTTGGGTATGAATGCACAGAATTAACGAAGTGCGGGGCTCCGGCAAACAGAAGGGGATCAGCCCCCTTAAACCAAGGGTACTTGAAAACATAGCTATATTGCAGTGGGATGTGAACTTTGCACACAGTGCCAGTGAACTGCTGTGGTTCGTGAATCAGTGGTTTTCCTATCCCGTTTCGTGTGTTACGTGTTCTGGGGCGTCGTTTTCGTGGGGTTTTGTTGCTTGAAAGGTTTTTTCGTGTGATCTTTTGATGGCTTGGGACCAGTGATTCTAGCACGTATAATACAGGA